TAGATTACTCAGCAGACTAAATCTTTCGTTACATTCCCCACATTGATACGGTTTCTCTCCCGTGTGAGTCCGCATGTGTTGCTTCAGACCACTCAGGTAACGAAACTCCTTGCCACACTCGCTACACTTGTGGGTACGCGGAGAATCCTGATCTCCATGTGTTCCCTCCTCATGCTTCAGGTGAGATTCAGCTCTGGTCGCCATGTTGATCAAACTCGTTACCCTGAAGGAACATTGTATAACATGTCATATATTTAATTGAATTGATAATCTGTGGACTTGCACCGGTACAAACGACGATGGCAAATGTATCTAAACACGCCATTACATATAAGTTATATCTGGTTTAAAGCATTAAAACTCAAAACTTTAAAACTCAAAACCATAGCATAGCATATTCACAACACCAGATATCATACAAAGGTACACCCCTGTAGTATCGTACAAAGCAGTTCCACTAGATCATAAATCGAACATACTTACCCAAAACCATTCAAGATACACGCACCACACCCGTTATATGAAGCACCTAACACAAAACCTTCGTCGGTTGATTTGAAATGTAGCCTACAACAAGGTGCCACATGGCAGTACTGGTAGCAAGTAAATACAGAAAAAGAAAATAATAGTCAGCACTTACCAAGATGCACTGACGCTCCAAAGTACTGCACGATGTTTTCACGACGACACAGATCCTCACGACTGCAGAGTCAGTACTGACAGAAACAGAGCAGTCAGGGACGCGTTTATATAGGGACTGAGAGGGTGGATAAAACCGGTCCGGTAGGTTTTACTTGATTACGGAACAAAGGAATGCACCATGCTGATTTGCATAGGGAAGAATCAGACAACATCATTCGTAGTAAAAAGAGACCGAGTTGGAGACTAACAATAAAGTTGATCAATAAAAACAACAACATATTACGTGTCGAAATTTTTTGTTGAAATTATCATGTTACATGGACTGATTTGCAAAGGGGCAAATTAGACCACATCCTTAGAAAAAAGATCAATAAAGAAGACAACACATTACGTGTTTTGATTTATTGGTGAAACTGAGATGCAGAAAGTTGACAAGTCTCTAACAGCTACATAATTTGATTGATTTTACAAAACACTTGAAAACAAACCACATCTACCAACATCTAGATGCTTTTATAACTAACACGCATGCTGCTAACTAATTCTAAATTTCTAATTCTAACCAACGGTCTACAGAGCATGCAACTTGTGGGTAAAAAGTATTCTTAGTATTACACTGAAGTCATGTAGAGTGTACCAAACTCGAAAAGACTCAGTAAAAACAGTAAATAAGAGTTCTCATTGGTAGAGACTAAAAGAATGACACAGGGACCAAGCCAATTCATCAAATACAGACCTTGCTGCAGGCGCCCCTTAATTGCTACATGATGCAATCTGTATACAGGGTTTTAAACCCAGGTTTCACCGATGTAATCGTGAACTCACTTGAATGCCGAAAGCTTTTGTTGCATTTTTCAGACATGTGCTACTTTTGTTGTGTGAGTCGACATATGTGCCTTTGAATTTGACAGTCGAATAAACTGCTTGCTGCACTCTTCACACCTGTACGTTTTTTTCACCTGTGTGAGTGAGCATGTGGTTTTTCAGATAGTTAAACTGACTAAACTGCTTGCTGCACTCCTCACATCTGTACGGTTTAAAATTTCTCACCAGTGTGACTCCTCGCGTGCTTCTTCATATTATCCAGTCTGCTGAACTGCATGTTACATTCGTCACACCGGTAAGGTTTCTCTCCTGTATGAGTTAGCAAGTGTCGCTTCAACTCATTCAGGTAGCGAAACTCCTTGCCACACTCGCCGCACTTGTGGGTACGCGGAGAATCCTGCTTTCCACCTCCACTCTCTTGTTTCAGGTGAGATTCAGCTCTGGTCGCCATGTTGGTCCTGCTGATCCTAAAGGAATAACGTACGATTCAATGTGTCAAATGAATGGAATTGACAATCGCGTACATTGTATGCACACTGACAAATGCGTAAATTTTATTGCAACTGTTTTGGTTAATCAACGCAAGTTGCGAATGCTTTGCATGATGGCAGAGTTTTTAATGCCTGGTTTCATTGCAGACACATACACGTCTCCAAATACAGTTTGGTATGCATGTTACATGTGCTCATTTACATAAATAGCCAACAACGAACAAGATCTCAGTAGGCTGTAGTCACAAACAAATAAAAACAGGACCTAGGAAAACAAAGTATAGTCGGCATTTACCAAGATGCAGTGACGCTCCAAAATACAGCACGATGTTTTCAGGACGATACAGATCCTCACGGCTGCAGAGTCAGTACTGACAGAAACAGAGCAGTCAGGGACGCGTTTATATAGGGACTGAGTGGGTGGATAAAACCGGTCCGGTAGGTTTTACTTGATTACGAAAGAAAGGAAAGTATATTCATGTGCCGATTTGCATAAGGCAAATCAAACAACATCATTAGATGAAGATACAATCAGTTGGACAATAACGATAAAGACAACAACATGCATATTACGTGTTTTATCTTATTGTTGAAACTGAGATCAAAGAGACGATTGTCTGCTTACAATAGGGGCTGTTGCGTGTCGGCAGACTGTTAGATCTTATTCAATGAAAGGTCCATAAATAGTCATTATAGTAGTATGAAAATGTGGAATCTGTAGTAGAAGCAAAAATCTATGAAACTTGAACGGGGGACAGCATCCCTATTAATTAGGCCGAAAAGAGGACAACCCGGTCAAGATGGCGATAATGAAAATTAGACTGCATCCTCATAAAAAAGTACAACTTGAAATAACAATAACGATGGTGACCAATAAATATGGCGCATAATGCGCTTTATTGTTAAAACTGAGATACAAAGTTGGCAAATCCCTACATGTAAATGTGGCTTACAGAATAATAGGAAAGCGATGATTTTTTACAGATACTAAAATACGAAAACTAAACGTAGATGACTAATTCTATAACTGACGGACAATGACACATTGACGTTAAACAAACGGTGTCCTACCATGTAACTATTATGTAACTACAATAACTACATTGTCGCATTTTACACACGACTTCTAGCTCTAATCAACAGGCATGCATCGATCGTGATACAAAATCACCGGTATTGTTAACCAGTGTACCAGTGGAGTCATTTAGAGAGTACACTACTACAATAAGATCAAACAGTAAGGACATTTAAAACATCGCCACTCTCAGTAACCTTTACAAAGACACTGACAGTCTTTCGCGGGAGTGTTTTTTTTTCAGTTTGCACTCTTACGAAAGCTTTTGTTGCCTTTTCAACACATGTACAGTCAACGACATAACAAAAACAATACCTCCATTATTCATGGAGATGAATATGGGATAACATAACGAAATCATAGTCGACACTCACCAAGATACACTGACGCTCCAAAGTACTGCACGATGTTTTCACGATGGCACAGATCCTCACGGCTGGCTGCAGAGTCAGTACTGGCAGAAACAGAGCAGTCAGGGACGCGTTTATATAGGGACTGAGTGGGTGGATAAAACCGGTCCGGTTGGGTTTTACTGAAGTACGATACAAAGGAAAGCGCCATGCTGATTTGCATAGGGGAATCAGACAACATCATTACATAAAGATACAATCACTTGGACAATAACGATAAAGACAACAACATACATGTTTTATCTTATTGTTCAAACTGAGATCAAAGGTACGATTGTCTGCATACAATTGGGGCTGTTGCGTGTCGGCATACTGTTAAATCATATTCAATGAAATTTCATAAATGGCCATTATACTAGTTTGAAAATGTATCAAACACCCAGCTTTAAAGCTGTTAGTAAATTCCTCAATCAAGACGGCCAACCATGAATACGATCAATGCCTTGTAGCTCAAACCCATTTTACACACAATACAAAACACGTCAGGTGGTTGAACAGCGACTTTGGAGAGATTTTGTCTGGCACGTCTGACCAAGAATTAAATTTCAGAGTTGATAAATGCTTGAAGACTGAACAACATCCATTTCAGAATAAATGTCTTCTCTAAGTTGTAAACTGACGTGTTCAAATTAATATACTAGTATACAAAAAATCAATTGTGAGTAAAAAAAAATCTAATTTTACACACTATAGTCCCAGCAAATAAAAAGAAAATCTAAAATGACTTGAATAGCGGGCAACACCCTTATTAATTAAGAAAAGAGGGCAACTTGGTAAAGATGGTGAACGCACCATATTACACGCGCTGATTTGTATAGGAGAAATCAACGTCCTTAGGAAAAGGGTACAGCATGGAAAAACGAAAGCGACGATAACAAACAATAAGGCCTACCTCCACCTTACAGAATTGCAGTAAAACAAACAAATTAAATTTCAATGCATTAGTAAGTACATGTAACATGATCCAATTGTAACCAAACGCTAAATATCTAGTGTATTTACAGATACTATAACAAGAAAACTACATGTAGTCGACTAAGTTCTATAACAGACGGACAGTGACACATTGACGTTAAATGAAAGGTGTCATGTCATGTAACTATTGTCTAAATACTACAGTATTACATTTTGCACATGACTTCTAGCTCTATCAACAGGCTACGAAGCATCCATCAATCGTTATATAAAATCACCTCTATTGCGCTATAACTCCACAGTAGAGTCATGTAGAGAGTACACTACTACATGTAGATCAAACAGTCAGGATATTTAAAGCATCGCCACTGAGTAACCGTTACAAAGACACTGACAGTCTTTCGCCGGAGTGTGAGTTGGCACTCTTAGGAAAGTTTTTGTTGCTTTTTTAACACATGTACGGTTTCTTCGCTCTGTGAGTTCGCACGACGTGTCTCTTTAAACTGCTGCTTGTGGTGAACTGCCTGCTGCACTCCTCACATCTGTACGGTTTCTCGCCAGTGTGAATCCGCATGTGTATCTTTAAATGTGACAGTGTACTAAACGACCGGCTGCACTCCTCACAGCTGTACGGTTTCTCGCCTGTGTGAATTCTCATGTGTTTCTTAAGATTAGCCAGATCACTGAACTGCTTACTGCACTCCTCGCAACGGTACGGTTTCTCACCAGTGTGAGTCCGCATGTGACTCGTCAGACTATCTAGCAGACTGAACTGCCTTCCACATTCCTCACACCTGTACGGTTTCTCACCGGTGTGAGTTCGCATGTGTCTCTTCAGATTACTAAGCAGACTAAATCTTTCGTTACATTCCTCACATCGGTAAGGTTTCTCTCCTGTGTGAGCCCGCATGTGTCGCCTCAGATAACTCAGGTAACCAAACGCCTTGCCGCACTCGCCGCACTTGTGGGTACGCGGACAAACCTGCCCTCCATGCCCATTCTCTCCCTCCTCTTGTTTCAGATGAGATTCAACCCTGGTCGCCATGTTGGTCAAACTCGTAACCCTACAGGAGCAAGTATAATTTGTCAATTTAATGGAATTTAGAATATGGTATACGTGCGGACTCACGCCGTTATACTGAGAAATTCTTCTAAACATGCTGTTACAAAACATCATAGCAGGTTCAGAACACGGCATATCATACAAAGGTACACCACTGTAGTATCATACAAAGCAGCTCCACTAGAAAACAACTCCAACGTAGCCAATATCATTCAAGATATATGCACCATACTCGTTATATGATGAATCTAACACAAAACCTTCGTCGGTTGATTAAAAATGTAGCCTACAATAAGATGCCCTGTGGTATACATGAAATACATGAAAATAAAATCATAGTCAGCACTTACCAAGATGCACTGACGCTCCAAAGTACTGCCCGATGTTTTCACGACGACACAGATCCTCACGGCTGCAGAGTCAGTAATGACAGAAACAGAGCAGTCTGGGACGCGTTTATATAGGGACTGAGTGGGTGGATAAAACCGGTCCGGTGGGTTTTACTTAATCAGGAAACAAAGGAAATCACCATACTGATTTGCATAGGGAAGAGTCAGACAACATCATTCGTAGTAAAAAGAGACCGAGTTCGAGACTGCAAACAATAAAGCCGATGATCAATAAAAACATGAGTGTCTGAATTTATTGTTGAAATTATCATGTTACATGCGCTGATTTGCATAGGGGCAACTTAGACAACATGTTTAGAAAAAAAGCATCAATAAAGAAGACAACTTTTAGCTTTGGTTCTCGTTCTTCCTGTATCCTCATTACCCGACTTCGTCTGGGCACCTGCAGCTTGAATCACAGTCTTTATACCCGGGGTCTTGTCACAAGTCCATCCTGTAGCTGCTGTCCATATGAAACGATTGCTCATTATTTATTGCACTGCCCTATATACACCTACCAGCGCTTAGTCCTTTTTGGCAAGCTTTCAAGCATACTTGGTAATACTGTTGATTTAAACACCCTTTCTGATGATTCCATACAATATTTAGTTCTTCGCGGTAGTTTCCTTTGTTCGTATGATACCAACTGCAAAATAATGTTAGCCGCACAAAATTATATATTAGAAACAAAAAGATTCTAACTGTATGTGTCTTCTGGGATGGGAGGTTTGTTACTCACGCGAGGTCTCATGTATTTTTAAATGTTTTGTAAAATATTTTTCTTTCATTGTAAAAGTGGCTGCGAGAATATAAGTTGTACCTAACTTGAGTTCGCAGTAACTTAGTCCATGTCCTTTTATTTGTAATTCTCATTGTGTTTCTGAATAATAATAAAAAAAAAAGAAGAAGACAACACATTACGCGTTTTGATTTATTGACAAAACTGAGATGTAGAAAGTTAACAAATCTCTAACAGGTACAACTACTTACAGGACACTTAAAAACAAACAATATTCAACAACACTCTAGCGCATCCAGACCTAACATATATGCTGCTAACTAACTCTAAATTTTACATTCTAAGAATCAAGTATACTGCGGTTACTTAAAAGCAAATCAAATAAAATTAGTTTTATCTGGAAAGCGGACTACTGTCTCTTACTGTGTAACTGTCACTACAGTCTAAATAGTCCACGACTTCTAGTTCTAATCAACGGGCTACGGAGCATGCATTGGTAATTTTACAATTTAGTCATGTATACGTAGAGATTACACTATTGAAAGAAAACAGTAAATAAGAGCTCAGGTGACATTGCTAAAAGTGATCTACAAACCTCACTACTGACTCCAATCATACCTCACAATAGTACCTAAAACAACCAGAGACAACTAATTGACTTCTAATTCTAATCAACGGGATACGGAGCATGCATTGGTAATTTTACAATAAAGTCCTGTAGAGAGTACACTACTGAAAGAAAACAGTAAATAAGAGGTCACATTGCTTAAAGAGATGTACAAATCTCGCCATCAACTCAAATGATTCAACATAATAGTTATCTTTAACTTGACATTGCAAGGTTTCCGCTAGTGTGAGATTGCATGTGGACTACTAAACTGCTTCCTACACTCCTCACCAGTATGAGTTCTGATATATGTCTCTAGGGTCTTGTTTTCTCCACTCCTTATGCCTTGTGGAGAGTCCCGTATGTGTCTCTTTAAACTGCTCCGTTTTGGTAAACTGTCTGCTACACTCCTTACATCTGTACGGTTTTTCACCAGTATGAGTTCGGATGTGACTAAATTGTTTGCTACCCTCTTCTCATCTGTACGGGTTTTCACCAGTGTGAGTCCGTATGTGTCTCTTCAGATCACTCAGCCCAACAAAACACCTTCCGCATTCCTCACACCTGTACGGCTTTTCACCTGTGTGAGTCCGCATGTGTCTCTTCAGATTAGACAGGTCACTGAATTGCTTGCTGCACTCACCACACATGTGCGGTTTCTCACCTGTGTGAGTCCGCATATGTGTCTTTAGACAATGCAGATGACTAAACTGCCTGCTGCACTCCTCACACCTGTACGGTTTCTCACCAGTGTGAGTTCTCATGTGCTCCTTTAGAGTACCCAGCTTGCTGAACTGCCTGCTGCACTCCTCACACTTGTACTGCTTTTCACCAGTATGAGTCCGCATGTGTGTCTTCAGACCTGACAGTCTGCTAAACGACCGGCTGCACTCCTCACACCTGTATGGTTTCTCGCCAGTATGAGTTCTCATGTGATCATTTAGAGTACCCAGCCTGCTGAACTGCATGTTGCACACCTCACACCTGTAGAGTTTCTCACCCGTGTGAGTCCGCATGTGTATACCGCACTCCCCGCATTTGTATGGTCTCTCTCCGGTGTGAATCCGCATATGCCTCTTTAGATCTGTCAGTGTACTAAACTGCTTGCTGCATTCCTCACACCTGTACGGTTTCTCACCTGTGTGAAACCGCATGTGTCTCTTCAACCGACTGGGGAAGCGAAACTCCTTGCCACACTCGCTACACTTGTGGGTACGCGGAGAATCCTGCTCTCCACGCCCACTCTCTCCCTCCTCTTGTTTCAGGTGACATTCAGCTCTGGTCGCCATGTTGGTCAAACTGTAGATCCTAAAGGAAAAATGTAAAAATTTGAAAAAAATTAAACAGAATGCAACATACCAGATCGATGAAATTGCCAAGCAATATACAGATAAGAATTAACACTAGCACAGCGAAAATTGTAACCAAGGCAATCCAAAATGTAGACGACATAAACGCAGTTCCCTGCCAGCGGGTCAAGTTTAACCTACAAGAAGATGTCACAAGTCAGTAGTCAACGACGTGCCAAAAACAATACCTCAATTTTTCATGGAGGTAAATATAGGAAAATAAAATCATAACCCGCACTTACGAAGATGGATTGACGCTCCAAAGTACTATACAACAGTATGTTTTAACTTCAAATGCATGGTTTGGCATGCTAATGCTTCAAAAGGTTAATTTAGCACAAATAGCTAAGAATGATTAGTGAGTCGAAATGCTAGCATGCCGATTAAATGCAATCGACAAAATTACTACATATGGAATCGTAGCCTACACTTACCAAGATGCACTGACGCTCCAAAGTACTGCACTATGTTTTCACGACGACACAGATCCTCATAGCCTGGTATCCAGTCTGATTCGTGGTCCGGACCGCAAGAGCTCTGGCCCGCCCGCCTCACATAAGCGTCCCGGTGTGTATTTCACGAGAGATTAATTAGCCCTCCACGAACAGACTGGGGACGCGCCTGTTCCAATTTTCTCACGACAGCGGATAGACTGAGGCGGGGCAGTAGTGACATATGGCTTCCCGCGCCACGGAAGTCCCGCAGCGCGCCGGCACGATTGGCCCCTGGCGCGACACGCGTCTCTCGCTTTGGCGAATCAGCGTCTGGTAGATTCATGACTCCCAGCGCTTACGCAATTTTCACTTCCGCGTTTGCAGAAACCTAAATATATGCCGATACTGACAAAGGGATACTATTATTACTAGCAGTTTGTATTAGGCCATATTTCAACACAAGAATGATACATGCAGTATTGATACACACACGTGACATTTGAGTTTCATGACAAAGAGGTTTATTTCTGTCCGTGAATAAAACGTTTAGCCTACTTTAGGATTTATATCGGAAAACAACAGTGTCCTTGAACATAATTTTCAACACAAGAATGATACATGAAACAGGAAACAAGTAATTGTACTAATAGAAAATTAACATACTATATAATAGTGTTCGTCGATCACATACTCTAGTCCATATCCTGAGTTTCTGGGATGACCGTGCGCAGGTCCAGCGGCTCTGCCTGTTGTGTTGCCAGCCGCGTGTTTCTTGGGGGGGCTGGTTGCGCGACCTGTCCGTGGACTTCTTGCGTCTCGGGGATTACAGTCCTCAAGTCCATAGCTGTTTCCATGTCCTCTGCCATGTCTGCATTAGCCGTAGAACTTTCTGTCACACCCTCCATGGAACTGTCATCAGCATCGTGCGATCTCGCAAAAAGGTCGGCACTTGGATCGTACGTGTACACGCTGTCATCGGATCTCGCAAAAAGGTCTGCACTCGGATCGTACGTGTCCTCAAACATGTCTGCGTCGGTGTCACCTTGTACCGGAGTAGACGTCCGCAGAGGTTTCGCCTCGTTCTGTAGTGTCTCCAGGTCGACGCCATCCCACTCGACCTCCTCACAAAATGTCTGGTCGCTGTCGTAACCCTGCTCAATGGCGTCGTCGTCTGGCGGTGGCAGATTCTCAGCCATGTCTACGACAAAACAAAAAGAGAGATATATTTTTAGGAATGCATTTAGAAATTGCCTTTTACCCGCCTTTTACCCGTAAAGTTTTAGCCTATTAGTATCTAATGCGCCGTGCTAAAGCGCCGTGCATGTTAACTTGTCAAGTGTGTACCGTGAGTTCTTAGCTATTAGTCCGCTGGTCTCCAATAAATCACGCCAATCAAAGAGAAAATACAAAGAGAGTCGAAGTCTGTGCTCGAAATAAAGTTTTAAAAGACATCACCTACCGGCT